ACTGAAGCAAGCTAAGCGAGCAAATGATACAAGCCAGCAGTATTTTGGAGCCGATGTGTGTATGCAACACCGCATAAACTTCTTACCTATATGATATACTTCGGTCGTGTTTCATTGAGGTTTCGATTGGTTTTTCTGTTTTCAAAAAAAAAAAAAACCGTGTACATTATATCAAATAGCGAATGTGCTAATCGAAGTGGTTCTTATGATTATTGGATATTGTTTTTTGTTTCATTCCATTTTGGCATACACCATTGAAAGCAAACAACGTTCGCTCCTTTTGCTCGAATTCGATATCATAAATTATGTTTCCACTGACAGTCAACAAATTCTTTTCGACAGTAAAGCACACAGGCGTAATTGAACCAAAACAAACCACAACGCAAACGACGACTACGACGACGACGAAATGCAGCTGAAGGTCGATTTTGTAATAATCATTGAAACAAACACACACACACACATATTGTTGAGTGTGTGTGGCTTACATAAACTAGAAATGCAATTCTAGAATTGCAACTGATATCCGAAGAGGGACAAAGATTTTCGCGTTCGCCACGCCACAACACGCCATTCGGTACGTGCCATTTTGCCAAGCTCTTGAATTTAGCGTTGCAATTTCCATTGATCACGACACATTTTCTAAGGGGATATCAATTTGTTCTATAAATAAATCAACAAGAAAATGGCATTGTCTACACATTCAAAAGGGTGGAGACAAGCAAGAGCACACACACACGACACGAAAAAAGAAAACGAAGAAAAATATCTTTATCGGTGTAGATAAAAGGAAAATCGAAGAATTGCGCTTTGAATTTTGTGTCCTCATAAAATCCCCCCCAGCTTAAAAGCAAACGAATATTCACAACCGAAAACTAGAAATTCTTTATATTCCGGAGACGAGAATATGCCAAGAAATAAAACATCTTAAGCGTTTTATATTAAATTCTTCAAACGACTGAAAAAAACGCTTTAGCGACTTTTCATATCCATTTGGGTTGTGCATAAAAGAAATGTAATCGTAATTTTCTATGGCAACAAAAATGCGATCAACGTCGTGAATCAAGTAAAATAAAAAGATATGCGAATGTCAATGTCAGTCGAGGCAAAGGAGGAGAAGAAGAAGAAGAAGCATCAGCAGCAGCAAAAGAACGTATGGCACAAGCAATTATTTGTAAGAAGTTCACCTCAATGACCTTAAATCGCAAAATCACGTGGCAACGCAGCAGTGCACGATTAAATTGCAGCAATTTATGGCCGAAGCCGAACAGTAGAACGCCAGATAGAGGAAACATCTCAGGAGTATTAAGCAATTAGAAGGAAAAGAAGAAGAAGAAGAAGAAGAAGAAGAAAATGACGACGAGGGGAAAAAGCAGCAAGAACGCGTGAAAATGACTTGACCATACACGTTGATGGTAGGTACTTAGCCTGGTGATAATTCGAATATTTTCGAAAAGGTCGAACATTCAAGCAAGCAAACAGCTATTCATCGTGTGTTTAAAGTGGAGCGAAAACCGTGTGTGAGATTTATGTTAACGGCTAATTTATTTGTAACAGCATTGAATGCACGCGAGAGAGTGTGTGAGTGAAAGAGAGGGAGAGAGAGAGAAAGAGATAAAGAGAGAGAAAAATGACAATTTTTTTTCTGCCGACCACACATATATGAACGTGCATGAATCTCTAACGCACGCGTCGTCTGAAGATTTATAATTGAGTTCATATTATGGCCATCTTTCTTAGCCTGTATGAAATATAGGTAGAAATAGCAGAGAAAAAAAATGTAACGCTAAAAGCTGGGCCGATTTAAACGGTCAACATTGCATTGACCGTAAATCGAGCAACACACAACAGCAACAACAACCAAACACAAACGAAACGAAACGAAAAAAACCAACGACAACATTACGAGCAATTCTCCTGCTGATCACATTCAAGCAATTCATTTTATTGCTGCTGCAAAAGAAAAATAAAATCTGCCCGTAGCTTGATTTACGTATGTGGACGCGCGGTCAACACTCAAGTTCAATCAGTGTATTTCTTGTTAAAAAAAAAATTACTACTCATCACGGTTCATCAACTAGCTACAGAACAGGAAAATAAAATGATTGCGAGTGAACAGTACAGCCGTAATTTTTAGTGCATGCTTAAAACCGTTTTGTACCGTAGAAAGCGCATTCGTCCTATATGCACATCATTTGCCCAAATGGTCTGAATGTAGCGACAGTGTGAGCAATTAAAGCCTCCCGTGCTCCGTTGAGCAGAAAAGAAGTAAAAAAAGGAAATATATATACGGAATTAAGAATATTTCTTACGGGTCGAAATGGACGTCAACCAAGATAACATACACTGGAATGCATTTTCATTTACCAGTCCAATCGTTGCATTATCCATTGTGCATTGTGTGCACCAACAACGACAACAACAATAGCAAAAGAAGAACAGACAGAACCAACAAGCAAACACATCACACAGTAACGGCATTTTAGTGCGAAGAGCGCGCGCAATTTTACCTTAAAATTGCATTGTAAAACCCATCCAATACACAACATACATTTCTCTAGAATAACACATCTCCGATGAACTGTGGCACACTTACACCATTTATCACAGATTAATTGGTAGTAAAACCGAAGAGCGCATGGCATCGCTCAATGAAAAGACAACACACTCAAGCAAGTAGGTTAGTATGGCTTTTTTTTAAACCATAATTAAAATCAACGGCCAACCATCGAAAATAATTTCAGTGTCGAATTGACGTCTATTCCCTGAGCTATTCCGAATTAATTAGGTTCTTCGGCTATATTTTCTATTTCCATCAAGTCCATGCTGCACACTTTTTTTTAAATGCGGCCGTTTGGCTCAACACCAATTTATTTTCATTTAAATGCATTATATTCGGTCCAAAATGCCACCACTGTAGTAGCGGCGTATGCCAAAACACCGATCGAAACCAATAATAAACCGAGAGAGAGAAATATTGTACACACAGAAAAGCAAGTGAAAAGACTTGTTTGACATGAATGGCCCCGATGAGAGGGAGGCTTTTAAACGGAACGCATTACAGCGCCAAAGACAGGGATAGCACACACAGAGAATTGATTAATGTGATAATTCCAAAATGCTTAACAATACTTGTTATTTATTAGACTCTTGATGGTTTTTGCTGGGAGCATCTCTCTCCCTCTCCCGTTCTGTGCCAATTTATTGGTGGATTCGTTTAGAGATTATCCATTATCGGTGTTACCATTTTCTGTGTGATATTGTATGTATATTGCCGTTGGGTTTTTCGCGTGATCTTTGCTCTGCTTGGTAATTGTTTCCCCACTTTTGATTCGAGTGTGTTTTGCATTCGCGTTGTTGCATTAGACCCAATGCCCGAATATCAGCTGTGGCAAGTACAAAAAACACAACAATCCAATGAAAAACAACAAAAAGGAATTCGTTTGAATTAAACGGAAAATTATATATTCATCGAATCAATACTCCGGCCGCGTTCAGTGTGCGATACACAGAGAAAACTAAAACACACGGCAAAATGAAACAAATTAATTGTGTGGCCCGTGTGTACCATTTCTCAACTCGAAACCAATGACCCTTGAACTGCAGTTGTTTGAGTGCGATTCGCTCGTTTTCGTTCTTCGCTGCTTGTTTTTGATGAATGGAGTGTGGAAAAGAAAAAATTGTATAAATAAGAATTAAGAAAGCCAAGACACACACACACAAGCGCGCGCGGAGAGAGAGATAGAGAGCCAGAAAATATATGCCTTTGAGTCGAGACAATCGAGACGATTTCTTTCTTGTCCCAAAACCATAACAATTCAGCCGATTACCGTTATAAGCTACTTGCATGTGACCTTTGGAAGCAATCGCCCAATTAAGCCACCATCTTGAAATTCAACCAAAAACGTAGTACGGCAACAAGAAAACACAAAAATTGTGCCAAGGTGTATTGTGCCCGAAAAAACAAAATCGATTCCTATGCGAGAGATCCGAGCTGTGCTTTTTTTCTTCTTCGTTGGACTATTGTTTTATGCACACTGTTATAGTCGTCTCGACGATTTTTCTGAAGAACTGAACCAACGAAAGATTCGACGACGACGACGACGAAGATACATAGATTGAATTTTCTATCACACAGCACACCAAACTCAAAATGAAGCGAAAATAAAACAACAACATGGATGCGAATAGTGAAACAGACAGTAAATAAGCACTAAAACATTTCATTCCTAATAAATGTGCACATTACACATGTGATTTCAATAGAGATTATGGATCGGTTATTTTATGAAAAAAAAAAATACGTGCTCAAGCCATTGCTTCAGCTGCAAATACGATGGATCAATGCGATGCAAGGCAACAGCATCATTACCAAAAGATGCAACGGCTGTGAGTAGAGAGAGCCTATTATGACTCAACAACGTATAACAGCAATAATTCGGTTTGGACTGCCTGAAAACGGCATCGCTGGAATGAATGCTTGCCGGTCGAAGTCAATCGACATTTTTTGTCGTCATTTTCAATTATTGCCCTATGGTTTTGTATATTTGCTTGTCATTAAAACCGTCACCATGCCATTTCCCGTCGATATCACATGCAAATGTACTTGATGAAATCTCTCCGTGTGCATCTCGATCGGTCTCTTCTTCGTTTGCATTTCAATTTGTGGACATGAAATTCATATTCCATCATAACAATCACATATCGAATCATCATATTCTAACGAGAGGGCTGAAAATAGTTTGCATATAAAGTTATTCATTTGTGCGCTGTGCGGCCACACGTTTTGTGCAATGGATCTGGCTTGGTTTGACCGGCCATAATCCAATTTTAAATCGATCGAATGATGCGTGCGTGCGACACTCAATGTGTCAGTTGTTTTGCAGTCGCAACATTACCAAAATGAATTATTCAAAACTTTTACGAAAGACGCCAAATCGAATTAGCCGACAGGAATGCAGACAATTTTACGACGCGTATATCAAATCATTCCTACTTACCCAATCACCGGATCGTGTGTTTGCATATAAATTGATTCCAGTGAAACTCGTATTAATATTGTTTACTGTACGGATTTACAGTTAGATGATCTATTGATACACGCTCTTAGCTAATGTGTGTTCTTTTTTTTGGGATATTTTAATGTTATTTTGTTGTATTTTGCCTAAAACCATAGCGGATCATAATAAAATACTGTGCACAGGAAAATCAATTCAATTTTGTTCAAACGTAGTTTACAGTCGATTTATATATATATTAAACGTCCCCGGCCACCAAGTCCATCATTATGTTGGGCGGATGCTAGTTGTGTGCAGACAAAACAGCGCCGAATACGATTAAATTTCGTGGCTTATCGTAATATTGAAAACCATATGGATACATGCGTTTAACATGCTTTCCCCCTCGACGTTTGTTTCATCGTACGTCCATCGAGTTGTTATGGGTATTATACGGATGGAGTCTATCTCTCGCTCTCTGTGTACGGAAAAAATACAAAATTCTTTGTTTGAAGAACTTAATGGAAAATCCGTTCAATTGCAATAAAAAGTTCATCTTATAAGAAGTACCGTATATGGTTTCACTAATAATTTAATGCGGTTCCACTGTTGCACTCGAATAGTGTATCAAACAATTATCAGTATCACATAAAATACCAAACTTTAGACATTCGACCATTTTCCAACCATTTTATTCGTTTCACATTTCTCTTGGTTTTTTTTTCTCTTCAAATTACACACAAGTACCAAGTAGTTTGCAAGGCGGCGTGTGGTTTATATCTAGTTTTGGATTCTGGGCAGAAATTCAATCTGAGAAAAAAAAAAAATTAGCATTAAATCTGGAAACTCTATTGAAACTTTCTCAAAAGAGGGAAAAAAGTGTTTGTTTTACGCCATATAACTCCAGACAGTTGTCATTAACTTCGTTCTTTTGAATCTAGTATTACTACGTCTAAATTTTATGAGGATTCTTTTGAAAAGAAATTTCAAACTTCTTCTTCGCACATCTCTTCAAGAGCACGAATTTTCACTTCGCCAAGCGAATCTCTCTTTCGTAAAAGAAAACTTTAATTCTTTTCAAAAAAGATCATTCGAAAAAAAAGAACCTGAACTGCTATTAATTGTGCATGAAAATGAGCATTGAGGTTTCAAAACATGTAAATTTTCTTATTCAACATTTTGGACTAGTGACAAACGGAACCGTTGTAATATCAGTAAAATTGGCTCAATTTCCAGTGTGCGAAACAATGGCAAATTTTCGTGAGTTTTCTCCGGGCGTTCAACAATAGACGCACATTCTATTATATGACAAAGCAGATAAGTACATTTCCATCAATTTACTCAGATTAACAGTCAACAAAAACTGTCACGCCAACCGTTCGGCACGCAATCAAAAATTCACCGTTTTTGTTTCGTGGAATAAATCGGCTGACACACTATATCACACGTATACAAAATGAGTTGTAATAATCGATAATTTATTAAATTCGCAAGTTAATTGGTTTTTTTATTTCCATATTTGTCGTTTTATGGAGATTTTTATATTTTAATTTCATTAACTAGTTTACCATATGCGCGGGCAACAATCGGATGCAAAATGTATCGATTTAATGAGCCAATAAAAATTGGCCGTATGATTGCAGCTCGTTTTTTCTCTCTCACACAGCATTCAACTATGAGAATTTCTTTGTCCTTCCAAATTGCCAATCATGTATCCGAAAAAGTCGCGTTGAAATGCGCAAATTTATTTTACGGTAAAGGAGAAAATCTTTTGCGTCCGAGTTCAAGAAATAATCATAAATTACCACGGAATACAAAAGGAGCGTGTGAAAGACATCACAGAGAAGAGCGTCCGAAAAAGTCAAAAAGAAAAAAAAAATCAGGTTGCGTGCAGGCCAATAAATTGAACGCATGTCACATTCATTTGAGTTGAGTTGACTCGATCTCTTCTCTTTCGTTCTCTATTGAAGCAAAAGCTGTTTGCAAACGCGCGCATTTTTTTTTCTCCAACGCTTTTCAATTCGATCGAATGTAATTTTTGGAAATAAAATTTCTTCTGCACAAAAGCAGAACGTGCATACTCATGCGTGCATGTAAATGGCAAAATGTTAAATCATAATCCGAAAAGAAACAAAAGCAAAACAACAACGGCAAAAAAAAACAGCCCGGTAAATGTCTCCACAAGCGATGGAAATGATCATTCCGGGTATTTGGCAATGAGAAAAGAACTCATATGTGAGTGACTCGATTTGTGTTTTGTTTTGTTTTGTTTTTGTTCATTCGGCGTGTTTTGCTTCACAAAATTGGGTGCTAGTTCTTTGTGTGTGTGTGTGTGTGTGTGACGCAGACATAATGAAAAATGAGCACGGCAGACACTTTTTCGCATTACCGTTATGGTCACCAGCGTTTAACAATATAACAGCTAAAGTTACAGTAACAAAACAAAAATAGAATCACACGCCAGCAAACATTCATTCGAGCTATGTGCTTCGTCAAACAGATCGCTGTTCTTTTCTATTCGATAAACTAAAGCCAATTTCGACGAGTAACAATAGCTCGAAGCTGCGTTTAGAAGAAGATGAAACGAACAACCACAACAACAAAAAAATTCTCCGGATATGACTTAATTTTTTCGAACGTTGACAAAATGACTTGTGCTTTTTTGATCACCTGGATCGGTCTGTGTCTGTCTTTTGGGTCGTATAGAATTTCTCTTTTGTTTTGCACACGAAATGCGTGCCAATTCGTTTAAAGAAAGAAAGAAAAAACATAATGAGAGAGTCTATTTTTGTATTCTTCTCTTTTCGCTATGTTCCGTTCCAATTATTAAGCTTAAAAAATGATTTTCTCTGTGCGTTGTCTTTGGATGTCAACGTTGATGAATTTGGCTCGTTGATCAAAATCCGTTGATATGGACTTCGAAAGTGACGACCTCATCATCAATCAAATATATGTTAAAATGCAATGCGAGCGGAGCGAATCCTTTACTCCCAATTATGTTCGAGCGTGGCAATAATGAAACTAGTGTGCGCTGTTCTTCTTATGCAACCCACTCAGATTTGCATCAGGTTGTGATAGCATCATGCACACACACACACATCACATTTATTTAATTAAGCAGAGTGAGCCGTTTGGTCATGCTGAGAACTCTGTTTAAAGCACGCCACAAGCATCCTTCCCATCGATCGGCGGTCTAGGGTGGAGACGATGGAAAATTCCAACAATACTCCAATCCACTCAATTTACAAATTAAAAATTTTTCATTTTCATCTCTTGAATAAAGATTAACTAATTGCAGCATACAAATTGAATTTCACTTTCAACAACTATCAACACCGAAATCGTTTCGACCATTTTTCGGTTTCGGAACGCCATTCTTCGATGGAATTTTTTTTCTTCGTGTTAATCATGTTCATTCCAATCCCATTGTTGTTGTTGTTGTTTTTTTTCGACGACGACATGCTTTTGAAGTGGAGAAAAAAATACACTTTCGATATAATCCATTAGTCATAATTGTCATGGAGATGCTGAACACAATGGTATGCGACGGAACAAAAGGAAGTCTTGCTTTGGACCCCACACAGCAACAACCAATTTCCATTGCTTCAGCGCTTAATTAAAATTAATTGTTGCGTATATTTTATTCAAAAAAAAAACAATTTTGCAATAAAAATGGATTTGTAAGTGAGTTAAACATATCTAGTTCTTCGAGTTACTCAATACATAGCCGAATAGTTTGTTAACAACGATGCAGACAAAACACCAATAAATCACTTTGGGAAAAAAATATTCACGCGCAAACGATTAAACTTTCACTACATAGCGCATTGCACAAATTGTTTGCAGTCATTTCGGTAATTATTTTCATTTTGTTCAGCAAAAGAATGTGTCACATAAACGCATTTACCAGTTAAGTAATCATCGAAAAAGAACGATTGTTGGCCACACGAACATGGGTTGTACGAACTTTGGTTGACATATCCATCGATTATGATGTTGTCACTAAAAGACATTTTTTTTAAAATTTCGAAACACAGATCCGACAGGTACTGCCTATGAATAATAAAATGCTCAAAATTTTATCATTTCAGCATGTTTAAGCCATTATCGGCGCAGATTTTAAATGTGGAAATAACCTTTTCAGAGATGATTTAAATGCATTTTTTATGATTTTACGGTGAATTTGTGTATTAAAATAGCCATTGATGGCGATCCAGTTATGTGTGAACCAAAAATAATTTTATGGAAATTCTCATACGGTCCACTAGTTAAATGAAATTATGTATCGAGTAAGTGAAATTGGGTTGACAATTGGATATAAATATCTAAAAAAAAAAAATCTGTTAAAAAGTTTTAAACATCTGTCTACAAAAGGCATCAGCACTAGAACATATATGTTGTCGATGTACGATATTGTCAAAACATGAAATTGCCCAAGTAATTTTGGTGTTTGCTTCGTGATCTTGGTCGAACCAATTTCGAATTAGTAAATAAATCATCAACGATGTTTTATGTGTGTCGTTGATTTTGTGGTAATTTACTCGTTTCCTCAATCACAACTCACTTTAAATTGACCGTATAAACATTGAGCATTAGAAAAGTGTATAAAATGCGAGAAGACAATCAAACGGCAGAAAGAGGCTGAGGTGCGCGTGTGCGCGCGCGAGAAAAACACAATGAAATTAGAGGCAGAAAATGCCTTAGCATTAAATGAAACGGGGATTAAATTAAATTGTTTTGATTCGCATCTATTGTGTGTTTACTGTTTACCCTTTTTTTCGGCGGCCGGTCGTGCGAATGGCTTTTGTCAGCCTCAATTTCGCATTTGTGCCACATACTCTGAACGAATTTCACACAACGTGAGCCGAAAAATGTCGTGCCAAACAATTTACTCCAAGTAAAGTTAATGCAGTGCAAATTGGCGATGACGACGATGATGAGTCGACCTCAGCGTCATCGTCACTTTATCAACAGGCAATATCTACAGAATGCGTGGCCGACTTTGATGAAGTTGAATGTAGGGTATTGCTAAAAATTCGAACAAAGGAATACAAAGAGCCGCAAAGTGAGACACACACACACACACACACGCTTACACACGGCGTGAACCAAATAGCTGCCAATTATAGGCGGCGGCGGCGGCGTTAGTGATGCGCCCGTCTTCAATAGAAATCACGGTGACACATTTTATACGCGAACGTTTCTAATCGAAAATGAATTCGAATCGTTTTGGATCGAATGATTTTATTTATTTACTCGCTTGACGCTTGGTGTGGTTTTCGGTTTTGTTAGCGTTTATTGTTCTAGACGGCGATGGCAGTGTGTTGCTGTCGTGTGTGTATGTGTGCTTTTTTTTCATTTTCTTTGCTTTTGTTCTATTGTGTCGATCATCAAGTGACTTTATATCATTCTTTTTCATTGATCACATGCGCGTTCCGATTGTTTCGGCTATTTGCCCGAATTAATGTCTTTATGTCGGTGGATTTTGGCCGAAAAAATAACGAATAAACATAAAAAGCTGCAACAACAACAGCCACCACAACACTAATCGAGCTCTATAAAATCGAACGGTATTCGGTGCGTGAGCGTTTCAACGCTTGACCCATATTACGGTCAATTGATTCAGCATCGTGTTTGCTCTTCGTTTCCGTTGTTTTGCCGAAATAAAACAACAACAACCACACATACGCTCAACATTTTTATCATCTGTTTACTTTTCTTTTTTTAATTGGTTTTGAAAAAAAAATAAAAACGATGGGAATCACCACTACCAGTTTCGATGCGTATTTCGAGAGAAAAAAAAGCAGACA